CATAAACATGACACTACCCCCGGGGTTTACACAGACGAGCCGGCGAAGCAAGAAGAGCGCCAGAAGAAAGGGCCCTAGCCGGCGGGGCCCAGCCAGGACAAAAGGAGGTCCCACAAAGCGCCTACACCGGCCGCATTTGCGGTCGGGGTAGACGACGGATGGGGCCCACCTACGAAGGCTGTCCAGGCCTACACGAGATGAGGCAGGATAAAGAGGGATAATCCCCCTCGATCCCAAATCATTGAGGCCAATTTCTAGCCATAGAATAATGGCGCGAGTTATTATACAGGGAGCCTCGAAGCAAAATGGATTGGCTATCTCTAGACTTTAGTTAAAGGTTAATTGTTTATTTTCAACCTACAACAAACTGAAATGGATAGAGTTGTACAATTATTTTTTATAGGTCATATACCACAGACCACCTAGACTGGCTTTTAGAGCAACTTTGGTGAAAACACTTTGGAGCCTGATTTGGAGCCCAGCGTTTAGTCGTATCCTAGCATTTGACGTGTACGCATCGCTGTGATTTCGATAATTAGACGTTTTATCATGGGCAAGTGTATTGTAAAACATTGTATAAATAGAAGTGATCGAGTTAGTGAAGAGAGACCAAAAGTTTCCTTCTTTAGGTAATTAAAAAAAAGGAATATATAAAAGGTAAATATGTACGCCATTTTTCGGTAACGTCACAAGTTTCCAGGGTTAGGTTTATAATTTTGTTCGCCCACATAGTGTAGTGATTAACGTGATAGTGTTATTATAAAATAATGAATGAATTACTGTAAAATATTTTTAGTAATTGTTTATTTTATGTGTCTTAAATTTTTATGAAATTTTACCAATTCCCGTCGTTTCGAGATAGCTGAAAATTAATTAAATATTTTTTTCAATTAGAGAAATCGCAAACAAAACTAATTTCAGATTCAGTATTCGTACAGTCAATTAATTTTTATTAAAGATCGTGGTTGTTTGACGTATCCATCTCGAGATGTCGTAGTAAGATGCTAAGAAACAGAAAAATTAATAAAATTTTTAAATAATGATGAACGCAGAACACCTAGGCTACAGAAAATTAAAATTGTTTATCATATATTAAAAAACTTTCTGAATGTGAACATATTTGAAAATTTGCATGAACATCAATTTGGTAATTTGCCTAACAATTGTAATCATTTAATAGAACTTGTAAGGGCTGAATGTGAAAAGTATATCGATGTACGAATAAATCATGAAGTCAAATTATTTAATTCGGTAAAATCTACGAAAAGACAAATATTAAATAAATTAATATTATTTAGAGGATAATAAATATATTTAAATTATTTTGTAGTTTTATCTAATATGACACTAAAATATACTATTTTCTGAATTACAAACTTAAAATTGAATATTTGTGATAAGATGCAATATAATGTTTAATATGTAATAAAAATATTACTTAATCTGGATCTGCTTAAAGATGCGTGCGATCAGATTGCCTTCCACACTCCACTTCCCCGGATTTTGCATTCACTGGTACCCGTGCATTGGAATTAATTACGGCCAGTCTAGTTGGTCTGTGGTCAAATACCGTTAAATCCTTTCTAGATTTTTCTATACTCTTTATCGCTGTTGCGGAGCAGATACATATACAACTGTGGCTTATTTATTTATAAAATTAAAAGTCGCTCTATTATTTGATCCCATGGGAAATTTGAATAGAGGAAAATTCGATTCGATGCTAACTTCCTTGCGGTGTGGAAGGAACCTCTGTTATATGTTTTGTGGTGGAACCGGACCGACATAACCACAAAATTATTATTTTAATAAACAATTTGTACTATAAAAATATGACTTATTAAGGATTGTTACACCGATTTTAAGATTGAATCATGTTAACGCGCGATGCAGAACTAATTTGGAATACTCTGAAAGGCATAATATGTGTTTACAAACCGGCGGAAGTCTCCACGAGAAGATTACGAACGACTATCATAAACAAGATATGTGCAGGTTAGTATCTATAATATAACAGCTGATTTAATTAATTTAAAGTCGACTTACTCAAATTTCTCTTTAAAAATTCGTCTTTGCACTCACTTCACCACTTGCCAAAATAACTCAACAAAAATCTAGACACGACTGCGCGTGCGTGTTGTTCTACCACTTATTTCAAATTCTCTGCATCTGCAACTTGATTTTTAGAACTAAACGAAATGGACGTGAGACCCCCTGAAGGATATGTAGCGATTGAAGGCAACCCTTCAAAAAATCTAACAGTTGTAGTAAGGCCAAATTATGCTGACCATCCTCTAGTCGTAGGCCCAAGATACCAGGAACAGGATTTACCTGTGAGCTGGTCAAACTATTTGGGACATAACACTTCTGGAGTACTAAGTAAGCAATAATTGAATAACATGTTGTGGTCAGTCAAAATAATTCATTTATTTCCTTAGTTTTTGGCTTAAGAAGTGGTACTAGGTGGGCGAAATTTGTTAGAGAGAATCTACCTACAAGGGCGTATAGAGTAAAAGGAGTTTTTGGACGAGCTACTGAGAATGGTTTTAAAGATGGGAAAGTTGTGGAAAGGTCTACTTGGAGACACATCAGGCAATGGAATTTGGAAAGACTGTTATCGTCAATGCAGGCTGCCCATCAGAAAAAAATGTTTGAGTAAGTAGGGCCACTGTGCTGTTAAAAACATTTATTAAATAGTAAAAATACTATTTAATAAATGTTTTTACTTTAAGCTTTGATGTCAATAAAAATTGGTTATTTTGGGGTCAGCTTACTACAAACAGTTATTTTAAATTCAGGTTTTCAATTAATTACTGCTTGAATTCAATAAATATTGCAATTTTTGACTATCCCTTATGTTGCATAATTTTAATTGAAAATGATCATTCACGCTTGAATTAAATACTGAAAATAGATTTACAAAACCGACAACGAAGTAAAAAGAAAGGGTTTATTGAAGAATATCTTCAGAATACCGTAATAAATCTTCTTCATTTCATCTTTATTTTTTGTAACTGTTGCCATTAATTAGAATAGAGTTTTCGGAAAGTATTCTATAACCGAAAGAATTCAATAGAATAAAAAAACATGCCGGGTTATATAAATAGAAAAGCCATATAAATTCTGGTGATTAAAGAGTGTGATTGAAGAGATTGTCCTTAGCTGTCTTAGAACCAATAACAAGAACGAAAATCAATATTAGAGCGGGTCTAAACGTGATGATAATAGTTCTGTCCCCACAGGCTTAGCCCGAGAACAGATCGAAGAAAGCCATTGTAAGTCTAATTATGGGAAATTATGTTGAAAAAAAGGAAACCGGGAAGGAAATAATATTTAATAGTTTTCTTACTTCAACTAACACTTGAATTATATATATTTTTTTATTTGTAGAATGTGTGGAGTAGATATGCAGTCCCAGCTGGCTTATGATCTAGCAATTAAAGGACCCATTAGACCTATAAATTCTAAAATCCCCATAATATATGGACTGAAATGTGTGGAATTCGAGCCACCAGGCTTCACGATAGGTAAATATGAAATATGTAACCTCTCAGTAGCAATCATATGTGGGGAATCCTAAAATTTCCAGTATATAAAGAAGAGGGTTGTAATGATTTATTTAACCGTTACAACAATTATATTTTGGGAAGAAGTAATCACACGCACTATAGTTAATATTAGACCAATCTAAGATTAATAATGGCTGTGGACATTTCCTTCAGTATTACTTGTTAAATTTTTATTTTTCCGCTTTTAAATTTCCAGACAAAATATTCGAATTCGAGTGCATCCTGTTGCCTACGTGTCGAACACATCCAAACGATAAATGTCGTAGACTACAGGGTGTCAAATATATTAGAATAGTTTTGGGTCTTCTTCTTCCTTTTCTAGTGGTTAGTCCTAATCAGTCCCATGGCATAATTAGGCCGATTGTGCTTCCCACTATTTAGTCCTATTCAGCAAGTAGTTTTGTTCTTGCCTTGGGTGCCAAATAGGATCTCCCCAGGAGCGTCATTCTACTACGTGCAAATCCTGGGCACTCGCCTAAGATATGCAGAGAAGTTTCATCCGCCGAATCACATCCTCGGCAGACCCGACTGTCTACAAGCTTTAACTTATGTAGAGGTTTCCTAAAGTGACAGTGTCCCGTTGTGATTCTCCTGAGCCGGATTTTATTCAAGCTCAGTAACTCATTTGCTCTTTCAAAGGATACTCCATGAGCTCCTTAGAATAACTATGTCCTGGCCTTGAAGTCCAGTATTTTCTGTGTTCTGTCTCAGTCCATTTGCCCAGGGCCCGCCAGACCACACTGGCAGATGTGCCACAGAAGGGCTCCAATGAACTCTGTCTCGGATCCCTTCCTAGCAAGTTCATCCGCTTTCTCGTTCCCACAAATGCCTTTATGTCCTGGCAGCCAACACAATCTGACTGTATTATTGATGGCCAGTTCAGTCAGCATTTGTAAACAATCCCACAGAAGTTTTGAACTTATCTTGCATGCATCATAATTTTGGTTAATCAGCCATTTTCAGTAGAAAGAAAAAAAAAAGGGAATATATTCTGTTCGACATCTTCACAGACCATGTGAATAGTGTAGCAAAGAGATTTTTAATACTAAAATTGTTTTAATGAACTATTAGCGAGCAAGTGGTTTTCGAATGTGTCCACCTTGTTGGGATTTTTTGCTAATTTGTATAGAAATACTATTGTCCAATTTGATTGTTCAGTCAAATTAAATATTTAATTATTCTTATTAATTTAATATTTCATTTATATTCTATAGTCTTGGCGACATAAAAATTTGGAATATAGTAAATGTTCTAGAGATGGTAATATTAAGAAAACCTCATTGTAAAATTCTGTGGAAACAATAAACCATTATTTACGGCATCCGCTATATAAACTTGTCCATAATAGACCAGGCAATAAAGAACGATTTACCCCAAAATATCTAGATTTTCGCGGCCCGGTCCGATTTTAATGCGGTTTTTTGCATTTTGTTCAGAAAGACCGTCGGAAAAAAGTCCCGCCTTTTTTATTATCCGGAAGTGGCGGAAATGCATCGCGGGTGCATAAAGTGCATCTAGAAGTGCATCGCATCCGAGAAACTTGCCAAAGTGCACAAAATACCGCAAAAATTGGTACTCGGGGGTTTTGGGGGCGCAGAATTCGAATATGCATATATCCAGTCCACCCGACCCCCCGGGGGCGACTTCCGGTCGCCTGGGGGGCGCGGGGGGCACGTGGATTGCAAGGATTTCCGAATGACTCGAAAAATGGATCTCGGGGGTTTTCGCAGGTGCTGATTCCGAGTTCGAGGGTGAAAAATATCCCCTGTGCTCGTGGAGGGGGCAGTGGGGGGTGGGGGATTATAATATTCATGAACTGGTAACATGGAATAATGAGTATTTTGGGGATAGAAAATTATAACATGTATAAATACACTTTTATACTTTAGAACAATAAATATATTTAAAAAAATTATCAGGCTTATCGTTTCTTATTCCAACCGAACTTTTTAGATTGAGTTTCGTCCCATGATTTTTCATTAATTTATATTCATCCTTCTTAGAAATAATCAGAAATAGTCATCGGACGCATTTGGCAGAGTCAGATTCGGAATAAGCACCGGCAAAAACCCCCCCGAGATCCATTTTTCCAGTCATTTCGAGAACTTTAAATTTCATACCCCCCTCCCCCTACCGCCCCCTCCACGAGCACAGGGGATATTTTACACTCTCGAATTCGGAATCAGCACCCGCGAAAACCCCCGAGAAAAACCATTTTTCCAGTCATTAGGAGAACCTTGCAATCCACGTGCCCCCGCGCCCCCCAGGCGGCCGGAAGTCGCCCCCCGGGGGGTCGGGTGGACTGGATATATGCATATTCGAATTCTGCGCCCCCAAAACCCCCGAGTACCAATTTTTGCGGTATTTTGTGCACTTTGGCAAGTTTCTCGGATGCGATGCACTTCTAGATGCACTTTATGCACCCGCGATGCATTTCCGCCACTTCCGGATAATAAAAAAGGCGGGACTTTTTTCCGACGGTCTTTCTGAACAAAATGCAAAAAACCGCATTAAAATCGGACCGGGCCGCGAAAATCTAGTTATTTTTCTCTTTATTGCCTGGTCTATAAATAGAGGATTTATTGTACTGCGTATTCCTGAAATTTCATTTTGTCATCGTTATTCATTTATTACTTTACCTACGACCACTACTGTAAATACTTAAAAACACACCATCTGCGATCAATGTAAGATTCCTATTACGTACGGTAAAAAAATCACACAGTTTTCCTAGCAACCGCCTAGCAACGGTCAATACAATACTGTTTGTATTGACTGTTGCTAGGCGGTTGCTAGGAAAACTGTACAATTTTTTTACCAAGCTGTGCGATTTTTTTACCGTACGTAAAATAGGAATCTTACATTGATCGCAGACGGTGTGTTTTTAAGTATTTACAGTAGTGGTCGTAGGTAAAGTATAGTACGTAATACGTGGTGTAATGCAATTATGCACTCATAGAATTTGTACTAACTTTTCCATTCGTGCTGTGTTGTAAAATGCTTTTTACAACACTTATTACGTAATATACTATTTTTCAGAAATCCAGTGTATAAATGAATACGAAACATATTTAAAAAGCTTGATACACGAGATTGGATGGAAACTCCACTCTACCGCTTACTGTACAGCTATAAAGTGTATTAGACACAGTTGCTTTACCCTGGACCATGCCCTGTTAATGAAACACTGGGATTTACAGAACATCGTCACCAATATAGAACAATGCAACAATATATTAAGTGAAAATGAACATTTGCTAAAACAAGAAAGTGTAGCATTGCGATAATGTATGCTGTGATTTTTTAATATCTGCGGCACATACATGCAGTGGAGATTTTAATGGTCACACGGTATATTTGAGTTTGTTAATGTTTGTATAATAAATGTATACATAAATGTGTATTTTTTATTTATAAAACACCAGACAAAAACCTTTTAAAGCCACTATAGATAAAACTTCAGAAATTGAAATTTAAATACATTTCTGCCAAGAGATGGCGTTAGGCTCTGGTATGAAAGCACAGTTTATTGAAGACTAAAGTGTATTCTGCAATGTTTGTTTAGGCAGAGATTTAAAAATGCTTGGTTTTTGACATACAGTTTTTTTTTCTGAACTTTGCCTAAAAATGAACGAATGAAAAATTATGAATTATTATTTACAATGCTTCCAAGTTTCCAATTGCAGAGGCCATTATGGAATGTCTTGGAGGATCACCATTGGGTGAAAGGTGGTTCTATCCATAACCTGTCCGTCCCCACAGAGCCTAGCTCAAGAACAACAAGGGCAGATCAGAGATTCCTAGCTAAATAAGTTAAACACGTCAAAGGTAATTCTGTAACTGGCTGTGACCAGATATACAGATCACGACATAAACCAAAAAACCATCACACTTTGAATATTAGCACAAGCCGTGAAAACCACAATTATGCAGGTATTTCACTTTTTATCCTTTATAAGAATATATAACTATGAACCGGAGTAACTAGTAAATAATTATCCAAAACAGTTTTTTATATGATTAGTCTTTGTCAAGGGTGATGATAGAACAGCCAGAATACAGGGTGTTTCTGTAAATGATGGCATTTGAATATACCCGGTATATGAAGGAGATTTGCCATTACTGACGTTCCACCACCGGCTTTTTGGAAAGTTTCTTAGCCCTTATTATTATGTATAACATTTAGTAATATTCAGTAATTGTTATTAATTGTATACAGGGCGTATTTAAATGGAGGGGCACAAATGATACCAGAGATTCCTTGGGTGAAAATAAGTCGATTTAACTTAACATACCTATATCCCATATACTTATTATCTATATACTGGTAGCCGGCTATAGGCCCCCGTGTACGGAATTGTCCGGAGAGAAGGAGATACTTTTCTGTCTCTCCCGAGGAATTAGAATCCAATGTGCATGCCCTGCACACAAAATCATGAACGAGTGGAGAGAGCAAGAGGGCTGTGGTCCTTACTACAGATTGCCCACTGCTTAGATTGTGACATTTTACTTATTGTATCTAGCGAAATTGTCACATTCTCGCATCGGCATCTGCTTCTGACGCATGCGCACCATTCCCTGTTTACTTGGCAAGGACAGAGCGATGAGGCTTTCCTTCCAGTCAAGATCCAAACAAAACTCATAGTATATAGATCCCAAATCGCATAATAAAATAGATACAGGGTGTCAAACTGAAAAATAAAAAATGGTTTTTCCTTAATAATTTCTATAATTTTAGTCATAAATATTTCAGAGAGATTTTTTAATGATGGGAAAAATAATATAATAATAATGATTTTTGAGTGTCGAGTACGAGGCACCCTCTACTGGCAACATTATGCATTAAATACGTAGTAACTTTTTTGCCAACCCCCGTATACAGCTTTTAGTAGCAAAATATGAAATATTAGACATTTTTGAACAAAAAAGGTATACTTATTGAAAATAGCTAAAGCCAACCGTTGAAGAGATATTTTTAATTACATAAATTAGTGTTACGGATTTATACCTCCACGAATACCAAGGTTCGAGTTGCTTAAATAAATAGAAAAATCGAGTAGATAAATGTCAGTTGATAATACTTGTAAATTGCAATTTTGAAGTATTAGTTTAAAGTGTTAATTGATTTTAGTCACTATTTACCTGCATCCTAGATATTAAATAGTTTTGGAATTGAATAAAATAACAAATTATGTATTCTAATCACGAGTATATCAATATGTTACAAGTATTTTTTAAATGTTACAAGAACTGTGCTGCTGCTGTATGACTTTATCATTCCAGATATCCCAATCGTCGTGTTCCTGCTAGAAAAACTTTTGCGGCGGTAGAAAGAAGACTTCGAGGAAACGGACACATTCAACCTTGTCCTGAAGGTACTGCGTCTTATTCGCGATGTAGAACTTGAAGAAGTTGTCCTTGCCAATTTACAAGATCAGAATTCTGAAACTAGTACCAGAAAATTGGCGACACACTATAACGTTTCACATACTACGATTTGGAAAATTGCAAATGATAATCTTTTATACCCCTACCATCTACAACCTGTGCAGGAATTGACTGCTGCGGATTTACCTAACAGGATAGATTTTTGTTAATGGTATATGAACATTTCAAGGGAAAACAGAAATATTTTATCCAGTATTTTGTTTGGTGATGAAGCGTCACTTCAAAGACATGGTTTAGTGAACCAACACAATAATCACTCATGGTCTGACGAAAATCCTCATCAAGTTTGTACATGCAAATTTCGACATAATTTTAGTTTAAATGTAGGAATCGTAGAAGATTATCTTATTGGTCCGTTTATATTCTTCCTCGGCGTCTCGGCGGAGCGGAATATTTGAGATTTTTAAATGAGCAACTCCCAATATTGCTTGAAGACGTGCCACTAGCTATCCGTGAATACATGTGATAAGCACATGAGGAAACTCCTGCTCATGGTACATTAGCAATGGTTAAATTTAAATTTTCCTGGGAGATGAATACTTCGAGGGAACGATACACCAGTCAATTGGCCTGCGCGACCACCGGATCTCATACCCATGGACTATTTTTATGGGGTCACTTAAAAAATGTTGTTTATTCCAACCCTATTGATAGTGTGGAGACGCTTCGTCAAAGAATTTTTGCAGCAGCTGAGGAAGTAAAGAATGACATACATATTTTTTCAAGAGTTCGTCGTAATTTTAATTGTAGAATTAGACTATGCTTACAGGAAAATGGAAATTACTTCAAAAATATATCCTTTAAAAAATCTTGTTTTTTTATTGTCGGCCAATTATTTCTCTGAAATTATCTGTTGACTGTTAAGTGACTTGGTTTTAGTTGTTTGCTCTTTTTTCTAATAGTTATTATTAAAGTAACAATAAATAGGTAAGTATTTTGCAATATTTTTTCACCTGAATTGTTATTTCATATGAGATTTCTTTAATGCAGAGTTTAAATAATTTCACATGGACAAGAAAATGTGTTTTTTAATAAAGACACCGAAAAAACAATTAAATAGAAATTATGCAATAAGTGTATTCACACCTGCAAATAATACGCAAAAATAGTAGAGTAAATTTAAAACAGGAAAAATAATGTTGTCTCAGTTCATTGATGCGCGCCCTTTTGGTCAAATTTTTGAATAGATTCACAACTAATAATTACTGTGAGGCAATTCGTTCTAAATTTATTAACAAAAGTGTCTGTTTATATCTTGGTATTCGTGGAGGTATAAATCCGTAACACTATAATTTATGAAATTAAAAATATCTCCGAAAGTATATTTTTTTTATTTAAAAAAGTCCAATATTTCATATTTTGTTACTAAAAGCGGTTTACGGGGGTTGGCAAAAAAGTTACTACATATCCAATGCAAAACGTTGCCTGCAGAGGGCGCCTCGTACTCGACACTCAAGAATCATTATTATATTATTTTTCCCATCATTAAAAAACCTCTTTGTTGAAAATTTGAAACATTTCTGACTAAAACTATAGAAATTATTAAAGAAAAACCATTTTTTATTTTTCACTTTGACACCCTGTATCTTTTTTATTATGCGACTTGGGATATAGGTATGTTAAGTTAAATCGACTTATTTTCACCGAAGAAATCTCTGGTATCATTTGTGCCCCTCCATTTAAATACCCTGTAGAAGCATTGTTACATATTTCTCAATACGTATTACGAAATTAATAGTTTTGTGTGACTACAAATGAAATAGCAGTTTTGTCAAACACATTTCCTTTTCCCCTTTTTCTCACCTCAACAAGAAAGAAAAACAATTGCATCAAATTTTACCGAGTTTTCTTTTTCTAACATAAGGTCTACTTGAAAAACCTATTTGGACCCCACCAGCATTATTTAACAATTTCCAGCATTATTTAGCTGTTTACTAGATATTAGCGAAGTGTAATTTAATATTAGTTGGGACACATTGTCGTGGATCTTGATTAACTCTCTGTTGCGTCGTTGCGTCAGTCTATCAACATCACAGACCACCTAGACTGGCCGTATCTAATGCCAATGCACGGATACCAGTGAATGCAAAATCCGGGGAAGTGGAGTGTGGAAGGCAATCTGATCGCGCGCATCTTTAAGCAGATCCGGATTAAGTAATATTTTTATTACATATTAAATATTATATTGCATCTTATGACAAATATTCAATTTTAAGTTTGTAATTCAGAAAATAGTATATTTTAGTGTCATATTAAATAAAACTACAAAATAATTTAAATATATTTATTATCCTCTAAATAATATTAATTTATTTAATATTTGTCTTTTCGTAGATTTTACCGAATTAAATAATTTGACTTCATGATTTATTCGTACATCGATATACTTTTCACATTCAGCCCTTACAAGTTCTATTAAATGATTACAATTGTTAGGCAAATTATCAAATTGATGTTCATGCAAATTTTCAAATATGTTCACATTCAGAAAGTTTTTTAATACATGATAAACAATTTTATTTTTCTGTAGCCTAGGTGTTCTGCTTTCATCATTATTAAAAAA